TTATAATGAAGTCAACTACAAAACAAAAAGAGGTAACAGTGTAGACACAGAACTTATAAATGTCAAGGAAGTAAAATTTATTTCAAGATAAAGCAGACTTCTAAATAGGGGGAAAAACTGAAAAAATTGCAGGATTACTGTGATTAACCCTGAAAATTAATACACCTGCAAATCAAAATAAAAAAGATTTAGTAAACATCACATACAGAAATGAAAATGGAATGAAAACCCAAAAACAAAATGATCTCAGCAAAGAAAAACCTTTCTTCATAAAAGAAATAATCTATGATGTCAACAGGGGGGAGGGAAGAAGGAAAATTATTCACGGGCTAGAGGGTATGTTCGGAGTCCTGGTATGGTGCTATGGGTTAATGCGCTGGACTGCAAAGTCGGTTTGAACTACAAGGTCAGCGGTCCCAGCTCAGTAGCTGCTCCTCAGAAACTCTATAAAGGGTTGCTATGGATCAGAACCAAGTTGATGGCACTTAACAACAACAGAGGGTATGTTAACATATGTTAACATGGGCAACAGAATAGGCAATATATAACAAGAGGGAGGTGAGTCAAGGAAAGATGAAGGTAGTAGAAGACACAGAGAAGAATGCAACAGTAAAAGTGAATAGAGGTAAATACTGTTGACTAGTGTGGTGCTGTTGAATCAGCACTACATTGCAAACCACGAAGTCATTGTTCAAACCTACCAGCTCTTCTCTGAAACTCTACACAGGGCCATTATGAGTTTGAACTGACTTAACAGCACTTAACAACAACAATAACAACAGATGGTATACATGGAGGGGATTGCAATCACTGCAATGAAGCAAAATATATGATTTGCTGAATGTAAAACTGATGATCTGCGCTGTAAACCTTCACTCAATTCATAATAAAGTTAAAAAAAAAAATGCTACCTACAAAAGACACACCTTAAACACAAAGACAAAAATAGATTTTTTAAAAAACAGAAAGAAATCAAATGATGTATTACATTAGGCAAATCTGCTGCATAAGTGTTCAAGAGCAAAATATATGAATTTGAGAACTAAGGTGCACCTGACCCAAATCCTGGTATCTTCTATTAATAGCCTCACATATATGTGAGGAGCTCTGGTAGTGAGTGGTTAGGAGTCAGTCTGCTGACCAGCTGTTCTGTGGGAGAAAGATAAAACTTTCTATTTCTGTAAAGATTTACAGCCTCAGAAACCCTATGCAGGGTCACTATGAGTCAGAACTGACTCCAAGACACACCACCATCACCATATGCATATGGGAGTCCTGGTGTGGTGCTGTGGGTTAATGCACTGTACTGAAAGTTTGGTTTGAACTGCAAGGTCAGCAGTTCAAGCTCACCAGCTGCTACTTAGAAACCCTATACAGGATTTCCTACACAGTCGCTATGAGTCGGAACCAACTTGATGGCACTTAACAACAACAGCCAACAACATATGCAAATGAAAGTTGGACAATTTATATGAAAGACCATTGAAGAACTGATGCATTTGAGTTATGGTGTTGGAGAAGAATATTAAAAGTACCATGGACTGCCAGAAGAACAAACAAATCTGTATTGGAAGTATAGCCAGAATGCTCCTTAGAAGCCAGGATGTCAAGATACTGTCTCTCATACTTTGAACATGTTATCAGGAGGGACCAGTCCCATCATGCTTGGTAAAGTGGAGGTCAGAGAAAAAGAGGAAGACTCCCTCAAAGAAGTATACTTTGGCACAGTGGCACAGTGGCAGCATCAATGGGCTCAAGTGTAACCACTGTGAGGTTGGTGCAGGACTGGGCAGTGTTTCATGTTGTGCATAGGATTGCTATCAGTCAGAATTGACTTGATGGCACCTAACAACATCATTAAGACCCAGAACTTCCTTAATAGAAGTCGCAGGAAAAGCCAAGGATACGGCAGCCCAAGGAATCCTGGAAGTTGAAGTCCCATTGATATTAGAACTGATAGAACCAGCCAAAATGATCACTGAAAAGAAACACCAGGGTTTCTAAGTAGTTCATTCTGGTTGGACACCCTACTGAGAATTTGCCTTTCTATCCCACATATAATGTATCAACACCCCCTGCCCCGCCCCCCGTGATTCTTTTTTTTATTTTTCAATCCAAAATATGTTTATTGGGATGGTTTCCCAATCATCTAGATTTGTGGTGCTTTTAGTAATGCTTTCATCTGAAGAATTGTCCTTCTGTAAGTCTTGATTTTCCTCCTGTACACTGACAGAACAGTGGAGCAGCCAACACACAAAACTACTGTTTGTGCATGGCTAAAGACCTTGAGATTTTATAGCATCCTGGGCATTTCACATCCCTGAAGTAGGAATTGGGGCTCTGCTCCAGACACTTCTTGTGTTTCCTCTTCTTATTTTCTGGAGAAGGATGAAGGAGATTCTTTGCAAGAGGCATGATGGCATGAGGAGGTCACCATCTCCAGAAAGGAACTCCCAGATGATTCTTACAGGTCCTAGCATGTGAAATATAGATTCTGATTCAGTATCTCTGGGTGAAAATGCAAATGATCAGCAGGAGGCACAACCTGAATGAACCAGTTTGAAATTATGGGTAAAACAAAAGCAAAATCACCCCATCTGATGGTTCTAAGTCAAACAACAACAACAACAAAACACCAAAAACCTTCCAACCCTAACGAAGCAAAGGAGAACTGCCTTTCTAGAGAACATACCAGAGTACAGTTTTGATACTTATTTTCTCTTGATTACCCTTGATAGCTAGTGCTCATACTTCGGACATATTGTCAGGAGGGACCAGTCCCGGGAGAAGAACATCATGCTAGGAAAAGTGGAGGGTCAGCAAAACAGAAGACCCTCAATGAAATGTATTGGCTCAGTGGCAGCAGCAATACGCTCAACCTTAACAAGGACTGTGAGGATAGCACAGGACCAGGCAGTGAGTCTAACTACAACCCTTAGTACTCATTTTAATCTTAAAAGGAAAAGGAAACAAGGTGATGTTTGTGATAGGGCCAAAACTGCCTGAAGAGATAACTCCAAGTACTAGATCATAATGTTCTTATAAAATGCTTCCTTCAGGGATGGGGTAATTTCCTGGAATAATTCAACAGTTACATTTTGGGAAGGGCTAGGAAGAGAGCCTTGTAGCCAGAGACTTTGGTCTAATTCCTGCCCCTGCTGCTTATTAGCTAGTTTTTCTTCATTAAAAAGTCCTAATTTCTAAGTCTTACCGAGTCCTGGTATGGCGCTGTTGGTTAATGCGTCAGACTGCAAAGCAGTTTTGAATTGTAAGGTCGCGGTTCAAGCTCACTACCTGCTCCTCGGAAACCCTATACAGGGTCGCTATGAATCAGAATCGACTCGTCTGCACTTAATAACAACAATTTCTAAGTCTTCATTTTCTGGACTTCAACAGAGAGAAAAATAAACTCTTTAAATAGTTGGCATAATGTGGGCACTCAAAAATAGCTGTTATTTGAGGATCATTCCCACCCCCTCCATACACAGAGTAGACAGGGATGGGCAACTTGGACATTGGCTACACAAAATGCGGGGGTTACAAAGGCAAGAAGTGACTGGCTTAAAGCTTTCAAGAGGGAGCCTAGATCCAGAGGTTGTGGAGGAAGGTAGAATCTCCACTGAGTAGTATCCAATCTGTATGAGCGGGGCTGATAAAAGGAGATGCGGAAAGGTCTCTTGTGATACAATAGTGAATAATTATTATCAGGACTGATTGTGAGGGTTGGAAATGTAAAGGTAGACGTTTTGTAGCAAAAGGAGGGGAGTGATTGACTTTGTAGTCCAGGAGCAGAGGTCCCTGGGACCATCAAGGGAGAAGAGTCGAGAACAAACGGAACCCCTACCCATAGAAGCAGTGATGCAAGGGATGGAGGCAGAGAGGGATGACATGGAGAGATCCAGAGGCTGGGGACTTTAGACCCAGGGAGTGAGAGGGGCTGTGTCAGGCTTGCAGGGTATACCCTTTGGTTGGTTGATGATGCGTGGAGGGGATTGTAACCATGGCAATGAAACAATGTACGATAGGATGAATGTAAAGCTAATAATGTTCTCCCATGTAAACTATCATATAATTCACAACATTAAAAAAAAAAAGCTATTATTTATATAATGAATCTCCACTAAATATAGATGCTGGGTTTGACGGTGTGGAGCTACAATATGAATGCTCTCCTAACATAAAATTCCTTAATGTGTTTCATTTTCAAAATTTTTTGTACATCACTTCTTTTCAGGGCAAGAATATAAAATGTAAGCCAAAAACTTGGGTGCACTTAACATTTTCATGTGCACTGTTTTATTTTAATGTTTATACTTTACAGACAAGACAAGAAGGCACACAGCCACCAAATAAATGGCAAGTGACAACCTAGAACCTAAGTATTCTAACCACCAACCTGGTGGCACCAAAGTGCGCAAGAGTTGTCTTGGCCCGAGATTCATCACTACTGCCTCTCAGTGACTAGTCCTGTGTTTTGCCCTCACCTTGCAGTGCGTGGTGGGTTCTGACCTTCGAATGACAAAGATAAAGAAATGGCCACCTGAACAAGGCTCATTCTTATCCTTTGAGCCCGAGGTGTCGCTCTCTTCTCTACCCAAGAGAATGTCTTTTTTCTTAACCCGCACCCCGTCCCTGTGTGTACTCTCTGGGCATCTCAGCAGCTCAGCCTCAGCTTTCCCGCCCTCGGCGGCGTCTGCTAGCACCACCGGCCCTTGGGGACCAGAGCCTGAACGTATCCAAAGACTTTTTTCGAAGCCCCACCACCTTGCTCTCATTGGCTTCTCTTTCTAAGCCACACCCCTAACCTCCCATTTTCCCCGCCCCCAAGATTTTTGCTTCCTCATTGATTGGACTTTGGTCTTGTCCATTCTGACTCTGACACTACTTGTTTCTCCACCCCACTAGCTCACCTTGGGTTCTCTTCTAGTGCTTGCACCCCTTCCCCGCCCCCGTCTGAGGGTATGGTTGCAACCTAGCTGTGGCCTCAGCTTTAAAAATATCAGCACACACACACACCCCATGGCCCCTCCTTTCCATCTCCTAGGCTCAGCTTTCCATCACAAAGCTCCCCCCACCTGGTCTTGTTCCACCTCCTCCGCCCACAAACCACAGCTCAGATGTCCTAGGTTCTTGGACTGAGCTGGAGGCGCGTTAGGGGGATGCGCTCCATGAAGGCTCTGCAGAATGCCCTGAGCTGGGCGGGCAGTTACTGCCGGCGGGGAGGCTGGGGTCACCTAAGTCGGAGTCCCCTCCTCAGCGGGGGTGTCCGGCACCATCTCAGTGAGGCCGCGGCACAGGGCAGGGAAACACCGCGCAGCCACCAGCCGCAGCACCAGGATCAGTAAGGCTTGGGGGACAGGGGCTGGGGCCAGGCTCTCTCCCACTCCCACAGTTGTTTTTGCTGGCTTTCGAGTTCCCTTCGTTCAGGAGCACACCTCTTCTCTCCTCTCCTCTTCGCTCACTAGCCTGCGATGCCTTTTCCTTTAGATTTGGGTCTTTGGGTACGCCGCGCTCGGGCGGTAACGTGCCGACCGCCCGGAAGGGCGTTTGGGCAGGCCGATCCTCGGGATGGTGCTTGTGCAAGGTGCGTACTTAATGGGGATGCAGTGGGCGCGGAATGTTGCTTTGTACACTTGTCTGAGTGTAGGGCCGTGTCTCGTCCCTGGTCGTGTGTATTTTAGGGGGTGCGTGGCTATGGAACAGCTTCCTGCCTTGGGTCCAGGGTATTTTGAGGTATCTGTATGGTGTGTCTGTATTTCTGCGTGTACTCTGTGTGTAATGTGTGATGCGCGTGTATTATTGGTGAGCAGGTACGTGCGTGTGTCGTTTGCGTATGTGCTGGTGTGTGCGTAGTCAAGGCTCCCTAATCTGTACAATAAGGTTTTCCCATTGGTTGTTGAATGGGGGAAGATATTCATAGTTGGGGGGGGGGGCGTCATAAGACGCAAACTTCCCATAACCGTTATTTGTGCAGCTCAAGCTTTCTAATTTAAAAGGTTCTTTTCCCTTGGGCGCATATTCCCCGACAGGCCAAGCCTCTATCACCATACTTGGTGGCAGGACGTCTTTTCTCCCAGACACATTCGGAGCTGAGCAGGAAATCTTGTACTCCTAACAACACCAATACAGACACTGCCCTAGCAGCCCCTGCCCTAGTATAGCAGGAACAGGAATTCTACCAAATGACATTCAGAAAAACATACACATTGTAATTAAAGTAGCTTGATAGTGACAAGCACTACCTCACCACCACTGCAGTCCCTGCCCTGACAGGAACAGACCAATAAGATATTATTTATTAACAATCATTATGCTGTACTTTTCCATCAGCCTCTTTTCAAGGAGTCTTGGAACCTTTAAACTTTAATGGATAAACTCTCCCTCCTATTCTACTCTCTATCTCAACTCCTTCATAATGACCACTGGAAAGAGAAATAGTGGTGGGATAGAAAAATGTTCGAACCTCTGTCATGGGTTTAATTGTGTCAACTCAGTTAAGCTATGATTTTCAGTGGTTTGACAGTGATGTAATTTGGCAGTTATGCAATGATGCACTCATCCCCATGATGTGATCTGAGGTGTAAGGCATAGGGTGGGATGCAGCCTCCTTGCTCAGGTCACATCCTTGATCTGGTGTCAGGGTAGTTTGCCTGCTGTGTGGCCCGCATTGCCTTTTATCAGGAGAGAGAAGTGAGTAGAGAGACCTCAATACTGCCAAGAAAGAAAAACCTGGGGAGGAATGTGTTCTTTGGATCCAGGGTCCCTGCGATGAGAATCTTCTAGACCCAGGGAAAGACTGATGCCAAAACACATGGAAATCTCCAAGGGATACTAGGCTCACAGAAGTGGAAAGGAGACAAAATTCCCCAGATTTGACACAGAGAGAGAGCCTTTTCCTAGAGCTGATACCTTAATTTGAACATCTAACCTCCTGAACTGTAAGGCTAAATAGAGAATAAATTTCTGTTTGTTAAAGTGATCCACCTGTGGCATTTCTCTTATATCAACATTAAATAACTAACACAAAATTTAGTACTAGGAGTAGGATACTGCTCTAACAGATAACCTTAAATGTGGAAGCAGTTTGGGAATTGGATAATGGGTAAAGGTTGAAAGAGTTTTAAGATGCCAAACAGTAAAAGCCTGTATTCCCTTGAAGAGACTGCTGGTAGAATTATGAAAGTCAAAGGCTAATTCTGGTGAGGACTCAGATGGAAGTGAGGATAGCTGTAATACCAGAGACAGTGCAGATGGCAAGAAGCAGCCACAGAGAAACACTGGCAGTAAAACCAGGAGACTGGCGTCAGCGTGAGGGAGCCAACCTAAGGAGCAAGAGGGCTGATGGCCTTTGAGCAGGAGGCTTCCTAGCAGAGTGGGATTCCTCTGGGAACTTGTCATCTGAACTAGGCTTGCTGACCAGAGAGCTGAACACCAGAGACTTACTGAAGTAGTGGGGGGTACTTATCAGTAGAGGCACTTATCAATAGAGCTAAAGAGCTTTGTAACTCTTGCCCAAATAAGGTAGAAACTGTACCCGAGAAGCCAAAGAACTAGGAAGCAAAAGCTAAAGTAATACAGAGCATGGGAAAACAGAGCTGCTAGTCTCAACAAGGAGTTCTGGTAGCAATAGGGCTGCGAACCGCAAGATCAGCAGTTCGAAACTACCAGCTGTTCCGTGGGAGAAAGAGGAGGCTTTCTGCTCCAGTAGAGATTTACAGCCTTGGAAACCCTGTACAGGGTCGCTATAAGTCAGACTCCATGGCACAAAACAACCATCACCACCACAGTCTCAAAGGGTAGGACCATAACCTCTGGGGTCTCAGTGGGTGGCTTCATGGCCTCTGGGGTTTAAGAGGGTGGGACTACAGCCTCCTAGGTTTCAAAGAATCAGATCTTCACCAACTTGGCTTCCAGAGTGTGAGGCTGCCATTCATGACTGCCAGGTGTATGAGGCTAGATCTGCTGCCCAAAGCTGAGGAAGTGGGTTTTCCATGTCCAAGAGACAGAAACTTGAACTAAGAGAATGGGGCTGCCCAAAACTGAGGGAGCAGAGTTGCCATCCCAGTGGGCCTGGAAGTTAGAGGTGAAGACCAAAACTAAGGGGTCTCTACCCAGAACCCAGAGAGAATAGCCAACACCCATGATCTAGAGGGCAGTGCCACTGCCTAAATGATGTCAGAGAACAGAGGGTTATTTTCAAGCCTTGAGAGCTAGTACAAATGTTTCTACTGTTTTTGACTTGCTTGGTGCCTGTTATTCCTTCTTTTCCTCTAATCTCTCTCCATTGGTAAGAGAAATGTTTGCCTTGTTCCAATTCTACCACTGTACTTTGGAAGTAGATAACTTGTATTCTAGATTCACAGATGTAGAGGAATTGTGCCACAGGATAGAATTTGGACATGGAGTTGATTTCTTTTCAGATGATAGGATGGGGTTAAAATGTTTTATATGTGGCAAGGACATGAATTGTGAGGTGGCAAAAGGGTGAAATGTCATGGATTGAATTATTGTTAAGTACCATCGAGTCAATTCTGACTCATAATGACCCTATATAGGGATTCTGAGGAGTGGCTGGTAGGTCCAGTGCTTACCCTACAGCACCACCCAGAAGTCCTGGATTGAATTATGTACCCCCAAAAAATATGGATCAGCTTGAGTGGGTCATGACTCTCAGTGGTTTGGGAATTATGTAATGATGTAATTTGGCAGCTAAGTAATAATGTAGTAATAAAATAATCATTCATTATGGTCTGATCTGATATGATCAGCCAATCAATTGTAAGGGTCCTGATTTGATGTTAGGGGCCCTAGGGTGTTGCCTGCATCACCTTTTATCTTTCAAGTGATAAAAGGAGAAAGACACTTAGCAGAGAGAGATCTTAGTGCCACCAAGAAAAAAAAGCCGAGAGTGAAGTATGTCCTTTGGACCAGGGTCCCTGCGATGAGAGCCTCATAGACCCAGGGGAAGCCAAGTGCTAAGACATGTGGATACCTCCCAAGAGATGCTGGACTCACAGAAGTTGAAAGGAGCTATGGCCCTTCCTCCAAATCTGACAGAGAGAGAAAGCTTCCCCATAGAGATGGCACTCTGAATTTGGACTTCTAGCCTCCTACACAGAGAGAATGAATTTGTTTGTTAAAGTATCCATTTGTGGTAATCCTTTTATAGCAGCACTAGATAACTAAGTCAATCTCTCTTACTTACCATGATGAGATGGGGACCTAGAGATATCTCTGGTTCCCCTAACATATTTCCTTAATCCAGTGGAGTCAAGTGGTGATGGTATTTTTAGGGAATTCCTGCAAATGTCCGCCTGTCTTCTAAGAATCTCTTGATAACCTTGGACTTGTACTCCCTGTGCAGAAGGGGTTGAAGAGCACAGGAGAGGAATGGGCTCTGGGAATGTGACCCCATAAGGGAAAGCATTCATGTTTCGAAGGCAAATGAGGGCAGCAGAGAGAGAATACCCTGTTATTAGTTTTTGTGGGTTTTGTTTAATATTTAACTTGATTGGTTTTCAAACCATTAAAGAAAAACCAAGATAAATACAACAGACTATAAAGAAGAAAATAAACATAATATTAGAGAGAACCAGTTACTACTGTGATACATATCCACATATGGTCTTCTTTATTCATTGTCCAATTTTTACATGCATATGAAGTTACTAAAAAACACCATGGCTTGGGTCAGGCACAACTTTGTCCTCAAACGCATTTGCTCTTTTTTTCTTTTAAAAAATGTTTTATTGTGAATTATGTGATAGTTTACATGGGAGAACATTAGCCTTACATTCATCCTATCGTATGTATATTGTTTCATTGCCATGGTTACAGTCCCCTCCATGCATCATCAACCAACCAAAGGGTATACCCTGCAAACCTGCCCCCATTCCCTTCCCCCC